CTAAGAGTTTAATTAAAATATTATAAACTAAAAATATGTATGATCTTTTGGTCTGATAATTCAATCAGTTTCAAAAGGAAAACACAGATAATTTGCAACTTCTCTTTGATTTAAATGAAATTTAGGGATTGGGAAATACCAGATCATGGACTTCATTGATTTCTTGCGCTCAGTTTTTTGCACTTGCTTTTGACACAGACTCAGACTTGTTGTTCCAGTCTGTTATCCAGTCATGGCAAAAGTTTTGTGATTGCTATTTTTAATTTGGATAGCCTATCAGATCTTAGTGTTCTGATATATTTGTCCTTTAAAACACACACAATTAAAGGGTGTGGACAGGTACGCAAAACCCCTTTAAACAACCTGTGTCTGTCATGGTATGTTAAACCCTTCCCTACTCAAACCCAAGAGATTTTGCAGTGAAAAGCATTTCCCATAACTGCCAGAGCAGAACCCAAATGCCTGCACATGCTGTTAAAGGAGTCCCTTGCTTCTAACATTTGACAAGAGCAATTAGTTTTGCATCTAAAAAGAGAACACTGAGCTATTCTGCATGATTTTGCCATTCCTAAATCTCCTGACACTCCACCCTCCCCAGCTCAGCATCCCTCTGAGTAAAGCAAGCAGAGCACTCTAAGAGGTGTTGTTATAATTAGGGTGATTATAATGGGGTGGGGAGATACTGTCGGTTGCCAAGGATTTCTGTGTAATAGCAGCAAGAATGTACTGTGAAGGAGAAACTTGCAATAAGCAGATTTTTGCTGTATTATTCTCACCTAATGTTTACTTATGTAGGCTTATATAAAGTGGCAATGCATTTTTTAGCCCAAACCAGAGAGGTTCTGAATGAAAGAATACAGAGAGAGCAAATGCCTTTGAAACCAGCCTGCACAGCAGAAGCAGGTTGCATTGTATTTTTCCCAGAACAGATTTCTCTTTATTCCTTCTTCAGGATAGAGAAGGTGAGAAGAATCTCCTTCCTTGTACCAACTTGGATCTCCTCTGCCCTGACCCTGCAAACCCCTTTGCACTTGTGTGTATTCCATTTGTGCTCACAAAAAGACCCACTGTAAGAAAACATGTGGGAATGAAGCATAACTGTTTGCAAGACTGGCTGCTTTGGCTCTTTCTCTGCATTCTTGTGCTTCACTGCATGCACTGCAGTCAACTCTCGCTAACTTGGACTGTAACACTTCTCGAGGGCTGGATCTATCTTTGTATCTTGCAGAGCACTGGGAACGCTGCTGGCACTTTGCTGCCAACAAATGTATGTGTTTATCATATGCCAAACAATATATGTGTTTATTATATGCCAAAAACACACATAAAAAATGACTGAGGTAATTTCACATCAGTCTCTTCAGCACACACACCATTACACGAAGAAGCCCTTTCTTGCTATTTAAGCATTACCTGTCAGATTAATAGCTGCATTAATGATCCAGCTGTCTTCAAGCAGGTTTGATCTTGCCTTGGAATTCAAGTAGCTAGAGTGTCTACAAAAGACTAACAAGGCTGTGCCACTGTGCTTTTGGCTTGATGGGATGTTACCCTAGCTGAAAGATCAGACATACTTTTCCGTGTCTTGACAAGAGAGAAGATCAAGATCTAATTGATTTTTACCTCTTCATTAATCTCTCTCCCTGTCCCTACACTGCCAACAACAATAAATATAGTTAACTGTTACTAACTGTGGCAAGGAGCTGCCTCCTAAAGCATCAAGGAAGCCCCAGAGACCCAATTATTCTAATCCAGTGTTTTCAATTTAAAAGGCATCAGTGGAGATCAGTGCTGCAAGACTCAGGTAAACAATTCTTTGATGTCAACAATAATAAGAAGAAAGTAAGTTGGACATACATGGTAGTAGTTCTCTATCTGCAGTTTCTGTACAAATAGGGTAAGGGTAGAAAAGATGTCCTTTTTCCAGTGGATAGGGGATCATTCTGAAAGCTGGAAAGAAAACAACACCGTGTACAAGTTACTGTGAGTGTGACAGTAACATATTTACAGACAGTAACCATGCTACAATTTTGAAAAATAAACACAGACAAAACACAACATTTATATTGGCTGCAAAGAGGATAGAAGTTGCTCAGTGAAATGCCCAAATACAAATCTACATTGAGCTTTTAATCCTGAACTTGAGTTTCTTTTTATTCTTGGGAAGAGGTTTGCGAGTATCAAGGGAGAGCACATTGCAAGTACATACATAAATGACTGTCTGATCAGAGCCCATGGTACTTACAATTCCATAGCCACATTTACGCACTTTGCTGAGGCTTTTAAAAATTCTAAAATTTAAAAATTTTAAAAATTCTGTAGAATTTTTGAACTTCAGGGGAAAGAAGTGTATCTGATATAACAGGTATAGCCCACAAAAATGACCATCTGAGCTTGTGAATTCAATTCTGTGCATCAAGTGTAATAAAAGTTTTGCATGGAAAAATGTACACTACTTTTTTCCCATCACACTCCAGCAAACCAGGTAACATTGATGACTCAAGGCCAGAGAACCAGTTTTCCAACACAGTCATGTTTTCATTTTATATTTGGCAATCAAAGATTAATACTGCATTATTAAAACCAGGTTCTTCACATGCATTCTTTTTAATGCAGCAGATCAAGTGAGGTTTCCAATATAAATCTCCAGGTCATGGATTAAATACTACTTAATCTTATGCATTTTAAAAATTGAAAATAATAACAGAGAGGGAGGGAAATGGATAACTAAATCTGGATGGTGCTGATGTCATAGGCCATCTGAGGGTGGTTTATGGAAACATCAGAATACTTGACTGAATTATAGCTTTGCAATCAAGGCATCCTTTTCCATTATCCTATATATTATTCTCACTGTTAAAATGTCATCAGTGTGTTATTCTCACTACTCCTATGAGCATCAGTCACTGAAGCAATATTTTCCTCAACAGATGTCCTAGGAGCAGTGTTTATTTTAGATGTTAGGTACAGCCCACAGCCACACGATAACACTCTATCAGTTATCTTTTGCTCACAAGGCAACCGAGGAATTGGTTATAATACACAATACCACAGTATTTTCAGTTGTGCACACTGCATTTGAAATAATGTTAACTGTATTTTTTTTGTGCAATTATGAGAGTGTATTTTTTCTTGATTACTGTGTTTCAAGCAATAGTAAAGAAGGCAGAAATCCTCAGACTGTAAAACAACCTGGACTGTAAGGCTCTCCCAATATTAACCTCTCCCCTCCACAGCAACCCAAAAAGCCAAGCAGAAGTACAATAATCCAAGCCTTGTATGATCTTCACAGGCAGCAAACTTGGGTGCCTGTGCGAAAACATACATGGAGGAATGTTCAACACTTATTACTTCAAAATCACTAGCATAACGTTTTCCTTCCAATTAGCTTAATACTTGAACAGACAATCAAGCCTCTTCTGCCTCACCCTAAATCACAGTAGTATTACGATTCTAATAAAAATAAAAAGGGATGGTAAAGATGTTGCTTTTGTAAAACAAGTGAAAAACATCTGAATAGATTTGGCTGAATTTAAACAGCCGTCTTTGACATGGACCAAATATGGAATATTTACAGCAAACCAGTTTAGTTAGCAATGTTATCAGCCATGGAAGAAAGTGCTCTGGTTCACCTGTATCAGTTTGTGTTTACATAGGTACTTCTCTGCCTTACTCTTACAGTATCACCTGATCCTATTTTACATTAATCAATTCAGGTAGCACAGAGGCAGTTTGCCATTCATCCATCTGCTTGTCGTACAAGCTACCGCAACATTTGAGATCCCCTAGGTTTTTCTTCTTCATACACACAACAGGAAACATGACACACCTTTAGAAACTGACAGTGACAAACAAGCACCTCAAACTCTTGAAATTTGATTACATTTGAGACTACAGAACCTCTGTACAGAGCACTTGGACCAAATCCAGAGCAACATTTCACGTGGTGTCACTTGGGCTTTTTTAGTTGTCCTATGAATAAAACTGTACACTGACTGATTGAAGAGAGAGCAGGAAACAACCAACATTCCAGTTTGATGATGAGCATTATTTTTATAACCTCCCTTTTCTCAATTGTTGAATGCAATTTAGGAAGAACATTCTGTGAGAATTTTGGAGTTTTAAATATCACAGTGACATTTCCGCATAAAGTTGTTAGAGGTTGTCTTAATTAGTGGTGATCTTATTCTCCTCCAAAGTATTAAAAATGTAACCCCCAAGTGACTGACTTATGTATTTAATTCTGCCCAATTCCCACAAGGTCAGAACTAAATAGTGTATGTATGTGGGCATTAAATTCCTACGTGCAACCTACTAAAATGAGACTTGTGGTTATTTAAGCACACTGACAGAATATTACACTTTCAAGACATGGCAAGTACATAAATACCTAGGAAGAAAGCCAGGGCACTGACCTGTACTGTATGTAGACTTGGACTGTTGGTAAGAACTAATATTTAATTAAATGTAATTTCTCTGTCATGTTTCCACTGGTCTTAACTTAAAATTGTGCAAAGATGCCAAGGAAACCTTTTACAAGTAAAGGATGTAAGAGTGACATAAATTCACTTCAACCGTAAAGAATATTACCCAGACTAAGATATGAACCAGAAGTTATGATTATTGGACTAAATACTGATGAAATCACTAAAACCCATGGGATTCTTTATGTGTTCAAAATCTGAACAAAATTACTGAGAACTGGTGCAACTGTTCATCTCTCTCTGAAAGCACTGTGCAAAATGAATTATGGATTTTTCTTTATTGTTATGCAACAATACTCATGTATATCTTTATAGGCTACTATACAAATATTAGCTAATGAAGTGCATATTCAGATTGCTGTGGAGGTAATAAGGAGCAGAATCAGTTCATGGGCGGTGTTCAAGGCCAGGTTGGACAGAGCCTTCGGCGACATAGTTTAGTGCGTGGTGTCCTTGCTCATGGCAGCAGGGTTGGAACTAGATGATCTTAAGGTCCTTTCCAACCCTAACTATTCTACGATTCTATGTAGTTAGCTGGGAATGCCCTCACTGTCTTTAGTCACAGATGACTAAATTTCCTCAGAGGCAGGAGGCCTGCAGGGCAGCCAGCCTCCTGTATCAAAAAGCTGGTCCTTGTAAACAGCCCTTTAGGGACTCCCCAGCCTGACAAATCAAAATAAGATCTATTTGGGATTTCCTGCAAAATACTGCTTCGTGATGATGGGATAATGAGCCTAGGGCCAAAGAAGTTCTGCAAGCACCTGAAGAGAAGAAACACTACATAAAAGCAACCCACTGGAAATAAGCCACTGGGAAAGAAGCTTTGACAGAGAAAGTAATAGAGTGGGAGAAATGACAGGGAAACAGCATGCAGGCAGGACAGACAACAATGCAGCAGAGCAAACCCCAGGTGGCAATTGTATGGATTACTGAGCAAGGTGTTCCATACACTTAGAAATAAAGCCACTGATTCCTCAGGGAGCCTACATTGCAAATTAGGTAAGTTCAGCTCACTTCATGCAGTGACTGAGACAGTAAGTCTTTTACAATGGAGGTATTAACTGCATTTCTGTAGAAATTATCATGGTGACAAACTTTTCTAATGAATGAGAACAGAAAATGGAGAAAGAAAGAAAAAAAAAAGTGATACAGTAAGGCAGGGAGAGGCTTTACCTTACAATAAGGTAAAGAGAACTGGAAAATAGAATAAGCAGAGCAGAAAGGGGAAACTAGATTTCATCAAGAAAAACCTGCATTAAAAAAGGCCAATTATAAATGGTACTTTTTAATTCTCTGAAACCTGAAAAAATGTATCAAAGATAGGATAAGGCAAGCTACAATATATGACCTTTGGAGGTCATATAACTCAAAGCAGGGTTATCTTCAAATTTAGGTCTGGTTGCTCAGACCCATGTCCAGCTGAGCTCTGAGTGTCTCTGGGGATGGATATGCCATAGCCTATCAGCAACCTGTTCCAATGCATCACCACTCTCATTCTCAAATCATCACCACTCTCATTTTCTTACGTCTAGATGAAATTTCTTGTTTCAACTTGTGTGTATCACCTCTTGTCTTTCTGTTGTGCCATTTTGCCAAGGACTCTGACTCTGTCTTCCATATCATCTCTCTGTTGGGTGGTGGAAGACAGCAACTGGATCCTCCCTTCACTGACTAGAAGTTTTTAGGAAGTTGAATAAAACCAGCTCCCTCAGTGTCTTTTCCTGCATCACATGTTGCAGTCCCCTTTGTATCCTACTAATTCTCCACTGGACATATTCAAGTTTGTGAATTAAAAAAAAAATCATAAAACACTATATTGTTTTATACTGCACATTAACATTTATCTACCTGTAAGGCACTTTTGTAATTTCGCAGTATCAAACCATTCACAGAACCATAGAGTCGTTTGCATTGGAAGAGACCTTTAAAGATCATCTAGTCCAACTCCCCTCCCATCGACAAGAACATGACTAGACCAGCTTACTCAAAGCCCCGTCCAATCTGGCTTTAAAGACGTCCAGGGATGGGGTATCCACAACTTGTCTGGCCAACCTGTTCCAGGGTCTCACCACCCTTATTGTAAAAAATTTCTTCCTTACGTCCAATCTAAATCTACCCTCTTTCAATTTGAAAGTGTTCATTCAAATAATAACAAACAAACCTCTACAACTCTGGAATAAGGAAGGCAAATTATTATCCCCTTATCCATGAGTAAGAAAATACACCTTCATAAAGATGGGAACTTTTGTTCAGTATTACACAGACAACACAATGAAAGACTTCACAACCCTTTTTCTCATTAAATGAAGTTTGCATTTTCAGTTTGAATTGCCAATATTTCAATGCTGTGAGGATATAACAGACCTCCAAAATTCCCACATGCTACACTTCACAAAAAGCCAGTATTTTCTCATTACATTCAATAAAAATATTTTATTAGCTCCTTTGTAAGAAAGAGGATTACTTACTGCCTTCCCATGTACAGTGTAGGAGATTCAATGCCCCCTCTACTCTTTTCCAGTGTTGAAGATGAAAGAAAGCATATGCTATTGCTTCACTGTCCCCTCTCTTCAGAATATGTTCAGGGGGCAGAATTAAGCTTTTCATTTCTAGAAGATACTGCAATAAAAAAGCAGAGCACAATTATTTCAGAGGTAATAAAAAACACAAAAAAGCTGTCTGCAATTCAACAATGCACTCTGAAAGGTCTATTTCCCTGAAGTACTTTCTCTCATAAGTGTTTCATCAAATGTGTACCATCACCATCTGCACTTGAAGATAATTACTGAATTATTCCCAAAGACTAAGATATGCTGACAGATGGTTAATGTTCTGCTCTTCAGCTGTAGTAGGGGGACTACAGAGAATTTCCAAGTGAGATGTCTCTCTTATCAAAGGAGGTGGAAATAAAGGGCTTAAAGCAGAAAAGAGAATCTAATTACAAGAGCTTTTAAATTAAAAGTGTTAATAATAAAATGAAGAAGACATTAAGCAGTTTGATGCACATAGTGTTTCTATAAGTAAACATGTGGTACTCATAGTTTGTACACAGGTTGCTTTATTGCATTGCCATCCACTGGTTGATAGGTCTATGAATATGCAGGGTTGGTAGCCACCTAAGTAGCTACCAACAAGTTTCAAAATAAAAAAGTTACAAAATGGAACAACTACCTGATTTCCAGAAAAATAGTACTTGATGTTTATCTTAAGATTGCTACTTGAAATAGTTACTGAAAATGGTATGAAAATGAAAAGCACCACTGACCAAACCCACAAGCAATTTTCCCCATTACTGGATCCCCCAAAGCAGCAGTGGATAAAGCACATGGAGGGTTTATTCCACAGGAGAAGATAGATGTCCTGGCTGTCATTCAAGCAGGTGATTTTTCCTCCTTCCCCAGCCCATGAGCTAGACCACTACCAGTTCAGCAGAAATTAGCTCATCACTGGTGGTACACTACGTTCCAGTTAGTGGATTGGAAAGATGTACCCCTTGCTGGCATGCTTTACAGTGAAAGGAAGGACAGTCAGAAATCACAGGTTACCGAATCAACTTCTGTTTGTCAGATCTCCTCTGAGAAGTGTAACATTACCCAGCTGTGAGCTGACTGCTCTTGAACAGCATAGGGAAACTGTTGCTCTCTTCCAGGACGCCCAAGAGAAAATGTTCTCCCCACCAGACTATTTAAATTAACACAAAAGGCAGCAGGTGAATCAGGCAGTAGGCTGTCAGGCCCTAACACAAAGTTCAGAAAGTAAAGTTATGGTTAATCACTGGCATAAAGAGAATAAGTGTGCAGCTCCTCCACTCCACCCTGTGCCTACGCACTGGTCTGGAAGGAGGAGGACTGCAGGACCTAGGGACTGACAACAACCCAGTGCAGGCACCCACAAGAAGGCAACCTGACTCCAGAGCTGAAACAGAAGCATAGGTGGTGTTAACCTTCCACAGCTCCTCTTAAACTCTGACTTTTGTGGATGGGATGAGCTAGTGCAGAAAAGAGGAGGAAAGGGGGCAAAAGAAGAAAACAAGAATTGAAAATCAGCCTTGGGAAGGAAAGAGTTAAAGGCTAGAGGGAAATGAGCACCACCAGCATGATGTCATGGAGGGACAGAGCAAGTCATCCTTCACATAAAGGAGCCTGGAAGGACCTAGTAAACAGGTAAAGGATTTGAAGAGACCATAGTCAAAGCAAAGAACCCTGGGAAATAGACAGATACTTCAAATGGGAAAGAGAAACCACTAGTGTTTCTGATGCAGGTAACAGTATTAAAGGAGGAGAAACTGAAGTAGTAGTGGGAGTAATAAGTGTGACACTTGAATTTTCTCTAAAGCCTTTCAGAAAAATCGGAGAGAGCTGCAGAGCAGGTGGATTAATGGAGGAAGCCGCAATTTAGTAGGCAGGACAGGGGATTAAGAGTGACAGAGAGAACAGAATAAAGAGCTGATAAGAGGGAGGGAGCTGCCAGACTTACAGAAATACAGCAAACATTCTTATTAACTGCTCTAATGAACGTGCCAGCCTTTTAAAAACACACATTATACCTGTTGAGTAGAATGGAATACAGCTGTAAGAGCTGCATGTTTCTATCTGGTTTATGAATTTAGAACTCTTATTTCCATTTTTTTTTTCCAAAATTAAATGAGAACGTAAGTTCTTGTATTTAAATATTTCACTTAAAGTAAAAAAAAACAAACAAAAAAAAAAACCAAAAAAACCAAACCATAAACTCAAAGCCATGTCACTATTTGAAGGGAAAGAAAAAACAGGAAGGAATATTCTATTTCTAGGAGCACTGAGATGAAAAAATGTTATTTTGATTCTTATGTATTATTTGTTATCAGTGATTAAGAAACAAATCAAATGGAAATACCAGATGGAAGAATATGTCTTGGCAATTGCAAATCATTCTTAGCCCTTACCCAGTTGTGTTGATTTTTCAGTCTGTATTTTTCTCAGTTTCAGAAAGAAAACCCTATTTTTAAAAGTCCCTCAGATAAACACTCCTCCCTCATTACTCTACCAACAGCTACTTTCCCAAACAAAAAGTACATAATCTAGTTCAGTGATATTCAAGAAGACCCACACACGAAGTTGACAGATGGCTCATTTGGGCCTCATAATAGTTTTTGGTTTACGCACAAAGGTCAGCCACGCCTTTTGGGCATGCAAGCTGTCAATTAATTTATTCTGGAGGCATTTCCATCAGGAATGCTAACTGTCCACATTAGACCTTGTCTGGAACACTCTGTACGGTTCTCATCAGGCACTTACAGAAACATAAAGATCAAATATTTTGTACAGAATAGAGCTAATCAAATAAATGTCAAGTCTGCTTTGTGACAAGGCACTTGAAGGTTTCCATCTGTTTAACTTATTTAATTAGGAGTAACGGGTACCAAAATGCACCTAGCTGTATGTAGGGCTTGATTATTATGGAAGGAGAGCTATGACTGTCCCTGAAAATTAGGATGGTCTTGATGTCCCAGAGTTTCACATCCATTTGTGCATTGCTGTATTTTCAAGGGGAGTTCAGAGCCTGTAGAGCTTTCAGGTTCCCAGAGGTTTCGGTGACAGGGCACAGGGCTTACTTGGAGATTTGGCCAAGTGCAGCTCCCTTTTATAGTAACTGCAGGCTGCAGGCATGCAGATACTTGACAGATTGCAGGACCGAGTCCCAGCAATCTGATTGGTTTCTAGCAGACTGTCCATGAAATCAACACAGTCCCCCTGAAACATTTTGGATTGGACAAGCAGACAGGTTGCAATGAAATTAAATTAAATGAAGAAAAAAATAATCTTCCTTCAAAAAGTGTCTAATGATTGCTTCAGTCCTCATGCTGCCCATGTAACATGTGAGTCACAGTCCTGATGGACTTCTGAATGCAACAAGTATCTCCAGCTCTTGGAAAAGATCAGCCAAAGACATCTGATTGTAGTTTCCAAGAGGCTGTTACTGCACTTACTCAAAGATACTACACTAGACAGATACAGTCTTCCCTTCAGCCACCAAAGACTTCAGGGTACGAATATGACTAACATTTCCAAAGGCCTCAGTCCAGAGCTCAGCCCTTGTTGTTACAGGATTAATATGCACACAAGATCCTACCATACCACTAAAATTCATACCAGTATGAACTCCATCAGGCTTTACAAGAAAGCAACCTACACCACTTAACAGACACCCTATTAACTGTAACTCCTGATACAGTGGCATCCTCTCAGATTCAATCACGACCTTTACAATTTAAGTAATAAAACTTCACTACCTTTTCAATACTTTTAATACATAGGGAAGATGTGAACACTCTGTCATCTTGACAGGGCTTTGAATGTATGCATGGTTCCACTCCAGAGGGAGGGTCAAGTAACAGGCTAAGTAAGAAACTTAGCAAAGAGCTAGCCATCATGGAGGAAATGAAGAGAAGGCTCAGGGGAGACCTTATAACAGTCATCCAGTACAAAAACAGGGCCTGCAAGAAAACCGGAGAGGGACTTTTTACAAGGATATGTAGTGATAGGATAAGGGGGAATGGTTTTAAACTGAAAGTGGGTAGATTTAAATTAGGTATTAGGAAGACATTCTTTACTGTGAGGGTGATGAGACACTGAAACAGGTTGCCCAGAGAAGCTGTGGC